GCAATCCTACTTCCCTAGTGATACTGCCTCGGAAACCCAAGGAGGGGTCGCTATGAGTCGGGGCCGACTCGACGGCAAATAACAACAACAACAAGATTATATGAATACTAACAACAAAATTGCTCTGTAAAATCTTTCTACATTGAATTATAACATTATTAATTACATTATTTGTAACTTAGCAAATGCCTTTTTATATTTTTCTTCTTTTCCTTGAATTGCTACTTCATTCTCAAAAATGTTACTGATGTAGGTTCACAAATACTACTTACCACAGTATTGTAGCTGAAACACTAGAAAATCTGACTAAATCAGCAACTATAAAAACACTGGCAGCAAAGAAAACAACAGTACATGTTTACAGTGTGTCAAGATGAAACCACATGATTCAAATTGCCACTGTAATTGGGTTGTAAAGACAGCTTTGACTAGAGCACATTGTTGTTGTTGTTATGTGCCGTCAAGTTGGAGTGACCCCTCCTTGGGTTTCCAAGGCAGCAAACAACAACAACAACAACAACAACATCACTACAGAAGTAGATTGCCCAACCTTCCTTCCGAGGAGTGGCTGGTGGGTTTGAACCGCCAGCCTTCTGGTTAACAGTGAAGTGCCTTAGGCCTATGCTACCAGAGCTCCCATTAGAGGTTCAAAAAATAAATGAGCATAGAATTTTCACCTTGTAGGTATATTAACACATATAAACTGGGCTTATGAAAAATGTTTTTGCTGTTATAACTAACTACAGGGATATTTTAATTAAAATAATAAATTTCTGCTGAAACACTGCACAAAAATTTTATACACAGTCATTGTGGTATCACTCCCTCTGACAATGTCAGCCAGTGTGATCTGTATCCACTTACCCCACACACTCCTAGTGATGCTACTGGCCTAAGATCATACAACTTAGATGTAGTAGATTCAAGGCCAGACCAAACCCACTGCCATTAAGTCGATTCCTACTCATGGCAACTCTATTGGACAGAGTAAAACTACTCCATAAGGTTTCCAAGGCTGTTAATCTTGACAGAAGCAGACTGCCTCATCTTTCTCCTGCAGAGCAGCTGGTGGCTTTGAACTGCCTACTTTTTGGTTAGAAGCTGAATGCTTTAACCACCGCATCACCAGAGCTCCTTTCAAGGCCAGGCACTGGGATCTTTTTACAATACCATGCTGAGCATCTTAGTACAGCATCCCAAGAACACATCCTATGGCTTGGCATGAATTTCCTTTTGCTTCTTGCTGGTGAGAAACCAACCCTTCAGGGACCCAGTTTCCTGGACACAGTCACAGGGCCAGGTTAAGACACCATGGTCCTTCTGTACACCTGGCACCTGCTTGCCCTTCTATGAACAGTTCCCGGAAAAGGCACCCCCCCCCCCATTAGTCTCTGTTGCCACATATGGCTCAGGAGTTCTGCACCCTTGAGATACAGAGCCAGAGGCTGGTATCTTCGCTCTGGAAATCATACCCATTCAGTTCCTTTTTTGTTACTCTTCACAGAAACTTCAGATAGCCTAGACCAACAAGACAGTTCCTGGAACTCAGGCCAGCAACTAATTCATATTATAGCAATGGCTTCCCACAAGCTCAGAGCTCCATAGTTTAGGAAGTGTTTCTGGAAGGTCTCCAGAGCCAGCAGGGGGGCTCCTCTGAGCTGGAATGTCTTATATCACCTGGCCCTTCTTTCCACAACATTCTATCTTATACCTCTTTCTTTTTAGAGCCCAGGAGCAAGGATCAGAAGACCTGTGTTCTAGTGTTGGCTCTGCCACTCACCCATTATTTATCTTTTCTCCACCTTGTTTTCTTCATCTGCAAAATGGGAATAACAATCTTGGGCTATATCATAAGATAGTTGTAAGTTGAAAGAGAAATAGTTTACATCAAAATGTTTTTTAGCACAAGACAGAAACAATGCAGGCACTATTCTTTATGGCAAGAAAAAAAGACAAAAAGGAGGGAGACCTCCGAGGGTTCCCCTCATTCAAGATTCATTCATAATAAAGCGCTTATGGGATCATGGCATTGCTAAGTGCTGAGGGAGAGACAAAGATATTAAAGATGTGATCTCAAAGAAGTGAAGTCTACCATAGACCATACAGCAAAAGATTTCAGAGATATCAGTGAGCCTCAAAGGTCAGAGAGTTGAAAGGGAAGTTCCAGAAAGAGTTGGAGGTGCTGGATTGTTCAACCAGGTGAAGAGGCAGCGGGGGAGGAGGAGGAGGCGAAGGGTGTCACGCTATATAACGGTCTCCAGGCCTTTTTGTCCAGGAGGAAATGAAGTCATCCTGCTGTTGAGATTCAGCATGACAGCCTCCAGCCAAGTAATTCGGAGTCATGAGAGCTGCTGGAGCAGTTCCGTGAATCACGACAGACAGCTTGTTGGGAATTTCCTGATAACTGAGGAGTTTCGGGGTAAGTCCTCAGGCTGCAGCACTGCTATTTACATTTGATTACTTTTATTTATATTTTGTGGGTCCCCAAATCCAAACAAAACATGCAGTGTTCTAGAGGAAGTAGCAAGGCTGGCTCTGAGCACCTCTGACTCAGTCGATCCACTGGGCAGCTGGCAGCTTGGTGAGCAGAGAAACATTCTCTTCAGAGAGTGCCTCCTGAAAGTGGGATGGTTAACTTGCACTTTCCCCACCCACAGGCTGGCATCCTGAGGTCTCTGGCTAGGTTTATCAAATGGGCCTTCCTCCTTCCTGCCCTCCTGGAGCTCTCCCTACCCTCCTTCAGCCCCTCTCAAGTGGACCCAGACCAAGGCCCAGGTTTGCCAGGTGCCAAAATATACTGCAGTGATGGGCAGGGTGAAAGACTAAGCTTTGGGCTCCTAGTAAGTTACAGGTTCCCAAACCCATCACAGTCCCCTTCCCTCCCATTATGGAAGCCAATCTGACTTGGTGGCATCACAGTGACCCAAACTCTGATTTCTGATACTCGTATTAGGGAAAGGGACAGGGGAGGAGGGTGGTTGAACCACAGAAACCTTACTTTGTTTCTCCACCTGAGCTAGAGCCATGTCTGTGTGTGCACACGTGTTTGTGTGTATGTGCATGTATGCGTATGCACATACACACAGGAACGGTGAGTTGGGTAAATATACATTGTCTTTTCAGAAAGACAATTTTATTTGAGAACCAATTCTGTTTATCTTAATAAACACAACACTCTACAATGAGGTAGAACACAAAATACACAGACATTAAAAATTTTTAAGTTATCTCTTTGGGATGGGCAATACTGGGATGTATGTTTTTAAAAATTTAAACAGTATAAAAGGCCATGCAGTGAAAAGTAAATCTTCCTCTCCTCCTTGTCTTCCAGGTTCCCAGTTCCTCTCCTCTGAGGTCAGAGAGGAATCTTTTTACCCCTCCGTAGCTTATTGTCTACATTAATAAGGATTTACTATTCCATCTTCTTTATTAACTAACTTGACTCTTCTAGGCAACACTTGTCCAGCAAATAAGTTGATTGTTCTTAATAGGAACTTTCTGAAAGACCTGCCAAGTCTTCATTAGAAAGTATCAACAGTTTGTGCTCTAAGATTTTGTCCCCACTAACCCCACAATATTATATCACCATCCTTATTCAATCCCAAGGAGCTCCTGGTGGTGTAGTGGATAAGGCACTTGACTGCTAACTGGAAGATCACTGGTTCAAACCCACCAGCTGCTCCGCGGAAGGAAGACTGGGCGACCTACTTCTGTAAAGATTTACAGTCTCAGAAAGATTTACCACCTTGGAAACCCTATACGGCAGTTCCCCTCTGGCCGGACAGGGTCGCTGTGAGTCCAAATCGACTTGAAGACAGTGAGTTTTTTTTAATTAAGCTTTCAAAGACTGGCCTTAAACCAACTTGAAATTCTCAATAAAGCCCAACCTTGACTTTCGTCACATTATCAAACTTCCTTACTGTGGAGAGCAAAAAGCTCAGCTTTGTGTTAACTGGTCGTGTTGATGATATTTGAGGAGTGGGCACTGGACAGAGGCAGCCGCTGTTGGTGTGTGTGCGTGTGCGCGTGTGCGTGCACGCGCAGGCGTAGGTATCGTGCATTTTCACTTTGAGAAAGAGACTTTGCAGTTATTTTGGGGGGCAGGCTACACCTCCATACTCAGGGTCCTAGGAGGTTGGGGGCCAAGGGTGGAAAGGTTGGAGAAGCGCCGGCTTAGAAGACCCAGAAGTAGGCTAGGGGACGAAGTCTGCCGAGTGTCCTCAATTCATGGCAATTCGGGGCCCCTAGTGATACCGCCTTGGAAACCCAAGGGAGGGGTCACTAGGAGTCCATACGCCTCTACCGCAGTGGATTTGGTTTTTTGGTTCCTTTGTTCTGGGGCGGGGCCCAGGGCCAGGTGAATGGGAGGAGGGGGTGGAGAATTTAGATTCCCCTTGAGTCCTCCTGCCAGACCCTGCTCGCCCCGCGGTTGGGGGCCCGCACTGCTTCCACCCACGTTCAAGGTTGCGGAAGCACGCGGGGTCCAAGTCTGCGAGGACTGGGGTAGAGGAGGGAAGGGAGGGGACGCCTCAATCCCAGCTGAGGCGGGGCGAGGGCGGGGGCGGGTTCTAATATAGAGCCTGCGCCACTGAGGGCAGCCCAGAGCAGAGATTGGAATCCCAGAGCCCGGAGGAGGATCTCCCTGTCTCCAGAGCTCTCAGCCCCGCTTGCCTCTCGCCGCCTCTGCTGGTGAGTACGGACCGCTCGGATAGCTCAGGAGGGATGCGGCGCGGTGGGGCCCCTGAGCGCTGCGCTCCTCCCTCCATGCGGTTGCTCCTGGGGCTGCCCCTGCTGCGGGCTAAATCGCTGTACTCCGGCAGCCCCAGCGCGTGCCGGTTCCGGAACCCCCAAAGAGGAGAGACCTGGGCTCTGGAGCCCGGCGATCGCGGCCCTCCTCCGGACCGCAGTAACCCCGGAGCCCGCTTTCTCGCTCCTCGGCTTCTTCTCCTGACTTCTCCTTCCCTTGCAGAACTTCTGTCGAGAACCCTGACCTCGCCACCATGAGAGTACAGCTGGCGTTCCTGGTGCTCTGCGCCTTGCTTGTTCGCGACTCCGAAGTGAGTGGTCTCCCTGCTTTGACATATGGCAGTGGGAGGGGGCTTGCGACCATTGAACAGTATCAGGGGAGGGAAGGCGCTGCAAAGGGAGCTGGAGTTCTCCGAATTGAAGACCAGGGCCAGTCACTCCGGGGAAATAGAACCTGTGGGGCGCAGGGGGCGGTCCCAGAGAGACGGAACCAAGGGCATTCATTTTTACCGGCTAGGGAGGAAGAAGCTTCGGAGGCTGCCCCGACCTTCGGCACTTGGCTAGTGAGGGGAACGAATCCATTTCTCCCTGCTGGAAACCCATGATCTTCCGTTTGAGGGCTAGATAGAGAGAGACACGCGGGGACAGAAGGGGCTGGAGGGAAGAATGGGTTTGAGGATTGGATGGGTTTATCCTCACTCTGGAGTCCCAGAGGCTTGAGACCTTTGATGACCTCTCCCTCTCTTCCTCCCTATCTCTTCCAGGGCAACCAAGAACTTCATGGAAGGTCTGGTGCTGGTGCTTGTAAGTATCCACCCTTTGCGCAATAGTTGGCTACAGAGGTATCTTGGAAAACCTCAGTGGAGCAGCCCTTCTGTGTCCCTGCTGCAGGGCTGGCTGTCCCTTGCCTCCTCCCACGTTCTTTGCTTACCCCATCTTTGTGCTTTCCAGCAAACTGTGGCTGTTTGAATGGAGGAACATGTGTGTCCTACAAATACTTCTCCAATATTCAGCGATGCAAATGCCCAAAGAAATTCCAAGGAGAACACTGTGAAATAGGTATGAGGATCCTGACTCTAGCTGGGGAGGAGGGGGCACCAGCAATTTGGGGTTAAGGGGAGATGGGTAGGATGCAACAGTGGGCAGGAGTTTGGAGCTGGGGGTGGGGTGCGGGCATCTTCATCCGTATTTGATATACAAAGTCAAGCATACGTACACACACTGTCTCATAAAGCAATGGTTGCACAAACGTGAGGTAGAGATGAAAGGAGACTCTCGCAGTGTCTTCTGCCAGATCTGAAACCATGTGAGGCCAGGCAGGATCTCAACTATGTCTGTCTGAACTTCCTCTTCTAATAGTCTCTCATCTTCACACCTTCCTGTAGATACTTCAAAAACCTGCTACCAAGGGAATGGTTACTTTTACCGAGGGAAGGCCAACAAGGACACTATGGGCCGCCCCTGCCTGGCCTGGAACTCTGCCCATGTCCTTCTGCAAACGTACCATGCCCACAGACCTGACGCCCTTCAGCTGGGCCTAGGGAAACACAATTACTGCAGGTGAGGTGGTGGCAGCAAGCACCAGGAGCCCTCTCTGTGGCTTCACAAAAACCTTGTTGCTATCCCCCTCTGCTCCCAGAGTGGCATGAGAAAAGCAAGGCCTCTGGTTGAGTGTTTGTTGGAGGGGAGGAAGCTGAGAATGTGTTCTGGGTTGGAATGACATTGCCCACCCTTCTGTGTTGCCAGAAACCCAAACAACCAGAAGCGGCCTTGGTGCTATGTGCAGGTTGGCTTAAAGCAACTTGTCCAAGAGTGCCTGGTGCATGACTGTTCTTTGGGTGAGTATCACTGACCTTGGAATTTCTTTGGGCATTTGCATTACTGAATATCAGAAAGAAAGACTTGTAGGCTTATGACTATGGGGACAAGGGAACAATGTTTCCATATGTCCCCTCAGTCCATGACAGGAGGCAAGAGGGGGAGGCCTGCCTGACCCTGAAGAACTGGGAGATCAGAGGGCGAGGAGAAGGACATTTATCCTGCCTGCTTCTCAAGATACATATTCTTTTTTTCTCCTCTAGGAAAAAACCCCTTCTCTCCTCCAGAAAAGTCAGAGTTTCAGTGTGGCCAGAAGGCTGTGAGGCCCCGCTTTAAGATTATCGGAGGAGAAATCACAACCACTGAGAACCAGCCCTGGTTTGCAGCCATCTACAAGAGGCACCGGGGAGGCTCAGTCACCTATGTGTGTGGTGGCAGCCTCATCAGTCCTTGCTGGGTGGTCAGCGCTACACACTGTTTCATGTATGTTCCTCTGTCTATCCTCATTGACCCTCCTCCCCACCCTAAAAACACTCCTTTCTCCTTCCTAGCAAAGGATTTCACTTAAATTTCCTCTCCTCAGTCCCTCTCCAGCAGCCCATGGCCTTAGGGACAAGTCACACTCTGAGGTCTCTGTGGTAGGAAGGGGGGAAGTGATAGGATATTGAGACCAGGCTGTCTGACACGTCTCGCCTCCCACAGTAATAACCCGAAGAAGGAGGACTACATTGTCTACTTGGGTCGGTCAAAGCTTAATTCCAATACGCCTGGGGAGATGAAATTTGAAGTGGAAAAGCTGATCTTGCATGAGGACTATAGCGCTGAGACACTTGCTCACCACAATGATATCGGTGAGTGGAAAACCCTCAACCAATGTAATGATGATGGTTTGAGGGTGACGGGACCCAAGAAGAAACCCAAGTGGGAGGTTAAAATTGTGGGGGGACTTGGAGACCCTGCTTTATACAACAAAAGGATGGTGGGGAAGGGCTCAGTAAAACACATGAGGGGCCTTGTGCTTCTCTGTAGAGTCTTTAAATTTCCCAGACAGGTAGCCTCCTCTGAGTGGAAACAGCTGCTCCCTGTCCCCCCTCCACCACCTCCTCCCATAGGCATATGACTTGGGTTGAAAATTCCCTGTTTGTGAAAATCAGGGAAAGATGCCCCTTTCTCTATTGGATGCAGCCTCTTTCTGGGCTGCATTGAACTGGGTTTCAGTCCTTTGGCCTCAATGGGGACTTTTTTTTTTGGTAGGAAACAACCTGTACCATTGTATGTGGTAGCTCTGGCTGCCCAAAACTTGGTCAGCAGCTGGGAGAAAGCCCTTGGGGTATGGGGCAAGGGAGGTTTGTCCAAGGTGATGAGCTACCATCAGACCTCCTAGGATGATCTATGACTGAACTAGGGACAGACAGCCACTCCCTCAGCATTTTGAGGGGAAAGATGGTGGCCACTTGACCTGGTGGTGATCTTTTTTCCCTGATCTCATACCTGCTTCACCTCCTAGCCTTACTGAAGATCCGTTCTAGTTCTAACATGGGCCAGTGTGCGCAGCCATCCCGGACCATACAGACCATCTGCCTGCCCTCACAGTATGATGATGCTCGTTTTGGTGCAAGCTGTGAGATCACTGGCTTTGGAAAAGAGAATTTTAGTAAGTGATATTTGGGGCTGGCAAGGGGGCTCCTGGGGAACTGTTGAGCCCAGGAAGTGAATGCAGCTTGATCAAGGAAGGACTGTGGAGGGAGAGGTGGGAGTACTATGGAGATGGGTTTCAGGGATGGAGTGGGAAATGTTGGGCCATAAAGGTAAACAGATAGGGGGGTGGGGCTAAAGGTAGGTAAAGATTTAGATTTGGGTAGAAAAAGGGCAGGGGCTTTCTCTAGTGTGGATACTTTATGTCCCTCCCCAGATAGAGAGTCCCAGTGGGAAGGCTGGACAGACATGTTTTAACCCAAAGTCCTCCCTGTTTCCTCCATCTAGCTGACTACCTCTTTCCAGAGGAGCTGAAAATGACAGTGGTGAAGCTACTTTCCCACCAGGAGTGTCAGCAGCCCCACTACTATGGATCTGAAGTCACCTTCAAAATGCTGTGTGCTGCTGACCCACAGTGGAAGACAGATTCCTGCCAGGTGAGGGTTCTAAGCATCTCTATCCGTCACCTCCAAACCTCCTCAGGGTTCCTGAGCCTGTCCCTGACAGCTTTGGGGGAGTTCTTTCCAGTCAAATCTCCAAGAAAACAGAATTTTGAGCTCAGGTCTTTGGGGATGTAAAGCAATATTATATGTTTACCCAAAATTTGCCACAAGCCTGCCTCTATTCTAGGCACTTCATGTAGGGGCAGAGAATAAGACTATAGAAGAAATATAAGTAAGTGTTCAGGGTGTAGTATGAATTATAAACAATCAGATGTTTGGGAGAGGGAAATAAGTACAGATTAGATGGGCATGGAAGAGAGGCTTTAAAGAGAATGGACTTGAATGGGATTTGAGGAGGCAGAGGGAAGAATGGAGGGTGGTTCAGGTGAAAGATACAAAACTAAGCATGAGTACACATAGCCCAGGGTGAGGAGAAGAAGTAGGATCTGGGAGCAGGGATGGAATGGTGGTAGGTAACTGGACTTTGAAAGCCATGCAGAGGATTTAAAACATAATGATATAGAAAATGGGTAATCACTAGAGACTTTGGGAAATTCCCTCTCTTAGGCCTGGTTCAGTAGTGGGTCATAAGGCCTCCTTCCTTATTTCCTTGCTACTCTCAGAGCTTATCTTTTGTATCTTGGCTTCTTCACAGGGAGACTCAGGGGGGCCTCTGGTCTGCTCCAATCAAGGCCGCCTGACGCTTACAGGGATTGTGAGCTGGGGCCGTGGATGTGCTCTGAAGGACAAGCCAGGCGTATATACAAGGGTCTCACAATTCCTGCCCTGGATCCACACTCACATTGGGGAAGAGGAGAATGGTCTAGCCCTCTGAGGACCCCAGGGAGCTGAGGAAGAAAATGGGCACTGCCTACTCCCATGTTGCAATAGGGCCATCTCCACCAGATATAAGGAAGAGAATGGAGAAGATTTGCTGTGCAGAGATGGTTTTTGCATGTGCTGCCCTTCAGGGTGAGCAATAATAGCTTTACCCTCAGATACAGGCCTGGGTGCTGGCTTCCCAGATCCCCCCAGCCAGGATGGAGGGGCAGTCCTGACTCAGGATGGTATTGCTCAGTTGTTTGCCTTTTTCTGGACTAAAACCTCCTGGAGTTAAAAATGGCATCTCCTGTGCATGAGTGAAAGGAAAACTGGATCCCTCAACAGTGGGCATTCATGAGACACACTGTTAGGAAATGAATAATTTCCCAATAAGGAAGTGTGGCAGAACTGAGGTCTCTTGAGGGAGATTGACCAATGTGGGAACAGCAGTTTGGGGCACAGAGACACTAATGAATTGAGGGAAGGGCTCTGGCATTCCATAAACATGTCAGGAAATATATGTGTGTAGGTTGAGCACTTACACATAGGCTCTAAGTGTCAGTATGCATGAGTGAGAGCTGGTGTGTCCGTGTGTCTGGCTACATTTCTTAGTCAGAAATTTGTATCCCCCAGAAACTGTGGGGACTGTGGTGCCTCACAGAGCAGGTGTATCTGGAGAGGTCTCTTGGCTCTAACATACGATGTTGCCTGTGAATGTATCATTGTGGGGTATAACCTATGACCAGCAATCAATGTCTCAGTTTCACTTTCATGTAAATATCCCCTTCTTGGCCAGTTATCCCACCTGACCTTCCAGCCTAGTTCATCCAATCCTCCTGGTGGGGTGAGGACCACTTCTGTACACTGAATATTTAATAATTATATTCTGCTATTTTTATTTATATCTATTTTTGTAATTTTGAATAAAGATGATCAATAAAATGATTTTTCTGAAGACATTGGCTCTCCTCTATTGCTTGTATGGGAGGGAGTTAGGGAGTGTAAAAAGTCAAAAATGACAATGGTAGCATGCATCCCAGAGTTTCTTGCAGGGCTGGATATCTGGACTTAATGGGCCTTTGGAAAGAGGTCTTTGGGAGAGTTGTAGGGCAGGACATCCAAAGCACTTAAGGTGCAAAAAAGTTACCTTGCTTGTTTTGCAGGCTGGGTTTCAGACCCCCGTTGTCTTCTTAACCTGATTCCTTTGTGCAGTGCACATCTTGTACAACTGTACATAGTAGTTCTTTCTAGAATTAGCCCAACCATATTCTTTTCAGTCTGCCCCCAATAGCCCTTGAGCCCTTCAGCTGACCTCAACCAAGAGAGTACCTCCATGGATGAAAATTGCTAGTTCAAAAACCCAGCCTAACTTGAGTGAGTCTGTGGCATTCAGGAAAAAGAAAGCCAAAGTTCCCGTCATCTGTGTGTAGGACTGGTGCTGAGTGTTCTCAGAGGTTAATGGAGCTTGTGACCAGCCACTGCTATCCCTAGTATCAAGGGGCTCAGAGTCTAAAGATGAGTGATGTCCTAATGGTGGTGATGTTATATTTTGAATTAAATTATCAGGTTCTGAATAACTAAGATGTCAAAGACAAGCTGAGAGATATATTTGGATGCTGAAACATTGGAATTTCCAAGTTGTGTTAATGGTTTTTGGCAATGTTTCTTAACCTAGTCACCTGAGAACCTTTTAAAAATATATACATGCCTATGCCCTACCCAAAGAAATTGTGATTCAGAAGATCAGGGCTGGTGCCAGGGCTCATGATTTAAAAAAAAAAAAAAAAACCTCCTAAAGTGTTTCTGATATGTATCCCTAATTGAGTACCTTTGGGGACAATTGGTCAGAACATGTGAAGGGCCCAGATATGGTCAGTATGAATTCTCTGCATAAATAGAGATTTTTTTCTGGAGGTGGTTCAGAATGTGCAAGGTCTCCCAGGCTTCCTGGTCAGAAGGTTCCCTAGACTGTGGGGCCCTGCAGGGCAAGGGTCCAGTATATTCACTTTTCATTCCCTAACCTAGCATGTTGCCTTGGACAGCGTGATGTAGTGGTTCAGAGCATGGATTTTGGAGTCAAGCAACCTGGACTAGAATTCTGGCTCTACCAATAACTGTATGACTTGGGAACAACTCTTAACTTCTTTGTGCCCCAGTTTCCTCATCTGTAAAAATATATATATATATCTACCTCCCAGGGTAGTTCCAAAATCGCAGCATAATTCTGACACCTAGTAAAGGCACAAAAATGGTGGCTACTATTACAAAGCTCTGTAAATTCTTGTAAAATTGAATGGGGACCCCCTTCTCTCTTCTACCCCCAGGATTTCATCGGAGTATTTTATGGGAACCAGAATTTGCTAGGAAAGAAAAGGCATGATATGAAGTGAAGAGGCCCAGCTTAGGCTGAGTGGCTGCTTAGCCTCTGTGCTCTCCCCCAGGGCCAAACTCATGTTCAAACTTGAGCTGCTCCAGCACCAGGTCTCAGAGACACTGAAAACAGGAAGTATGAGCCCCACTGGCGGGTTGAGCAATGAGGCTGCTAACTCTCCTCAGACCATTTCTCAGCCACCACCCCAAGCCCCAGCTGGCGACTGCCTCTTCCCTGAATCAACGACCTCACTTGGGGTTGGCCAGGATCAGCTACTTTCCAGCAAATATACTACCCTATCACTCACTTTGGCCACCTAAGCCTGGTGCTTCCTATGTGTTAAATTCTTTACATATTGTCTGATTCAATCCTCACACTACAAGGAAGGTATTATTAGCCTCATTTTACAGTAGAGAAAATTGGAGTACAGGAGATTGAATGACTTGCCCAAGCAATGCAGCTGGTAAGCAGTAGTGCCAGGGTTCAGACCAGGCAGCTGGCTCCTGAGTCCACACGCCCAGCACTCAGACGTATCACCTCTCAGTAGTATACAAACAGGGCAAAGGAGAGCAGCCTTTCTTTCAGGCTCCCTACATCAGAGATTCTGGTTTTCTAGACTAAGTGTATCAGAATTCAGCCGCAGCCTTTTATAATCCTGTTCTCTGAAAAAATTCCCAGGCCAAGTGAAGAGACCACACTCAGCCACCTATTTCAAAGTAAATTTCATCCTTTTCAAGCTAACCTCAGTCTTTTCTGCTGACATCTGGTTTCATTGAAGTGGTTTCCGTTTTCATCAGAACCCCGCCTTCTGAAATATTCTGTGGCCCATTCTACTATCTATTATCTGTAATATTCTATTATCTGAATCAACTTGTTTTCCACTTTTGTCCTGTACTCTTAAGCCCTCTCTCCACAACTACACCTCTGTATACGCCCCTCCACACTCACCCCCAATGTGTCTACCTTCCTCCCCATCAGTAAACATCCTTTTATTTATTTATTTTTTATTAGGATTTGGGTGAAGATTTACAGAGTAAATTCACTTTTCATACAGCAGTTCACATATACTTTGTCTCATGTCATTG